GATGCTTCTGAGCGTCCACAACGCACTCGTCATCGTTCTGCTCAATACGACGATTGACTCTGACTTATCTTCCCACGTCTTTGACTTCTCAGTACTCCATCCACTCTAGTTTTGCCACTTCAGCTCGTCGACGTTGCGGCTCTTCCTTGACGACATTCCGAACTTCTCATCATGGACGTCATCGGCAGCTTCATGGACTTCGTCACGATCAACTCTGCCTACTTCAGACGTCGTCACTCTCTTACCACCTTACCCTGTACAGTACCCTGGTTGTGTCGCATGATGGTTTTCCTTCGCCGGGTTCCTCCGAGTTGGGCTCTCCCTTGGTATACGCATAGGCATCGGGACCGTAACGTTGCCCTGGCTTCCCAACTTACGGATCTAGCTCCGACTTCCCTCACTTTAGGAGTCATTTGCATGATTCCCTTACCCATCACTTTTTCTACCCTCTGCCGGCCCTCACACCCTAGTTAGGCAGCCTTGCATGCTTCATCTAGGTGCGCCCAATATACCAGGCTCCCTTATTCCCTTGCATGGTCGACCCTCCATAGTGGGCACCCCTTTAGTCGAGCATTACCCGCCCTGATGGTCTATCTGTTAGTGTCATTGGTTCTGTTCACTCCCAGTTCCCTACCCTCATTGAGCCCGATGACATGTGTTTCCCTGTCATTATGTGTAAATGCCTAGGAGTTTATCGACCCCTAGGCTGCATTCGCCACCCTCAGAGACCATCCCACCCTGTGTTTTGCGACACATTCCTCCTGTGACATATAGTTGTCGTGTTGTTGCTTGTTGCTTTCAGACTGAGGCTACTGCCTCTAACATTTCTAGGATTTAGTTGTTTCTGCTTTTGCTGTTCTTAGGACTTGTACACTAGTCAGTTGTTTCCAGACTGAGGCTACTGCCTCCAACATTCTAGGATTTAGTTGTCATTACTTTCTGCTTTCCTAGGACATGTATACTAGTTAGTTGCTTCTGCTTTCATTTAGGCTGTTAGTTGTGACATTGTTGTTTTTGCTACATTTTCTAGCCTAGGTTGCATCGCATGAACTCAACATGGAGCTTGTTCCGCATCCTAGACTACTCGGGTTTTCTTTTTCTTTGGTAGAGTTCCGCTTCTTGGCGGAAACATGCTTGTATCTAGGCGATCCATCACAGACCGAGGATCGTGTAGCGAACCTCTGGTTGGCATGTGAGACCAGCCCCTTGGCCTGTTCTCACAGGCTTGTGTTGTATTCGGGGTAGTCCAGTCCAGGCCCGTACCTCTGTCTGTACCAGCCAGTCCAGTCCAGTCCAGTCAGTCCGTTGGGGTATACCCCAACCAGAGTCTGTATTTTGGATCATTCTACATTCGCACAGTTTGGAGTACACGCGTTGGAGTTTCGCGTGGGAGCTGCGCTGTGCCATCTTGCTCCACTCTCATCCTCCATCTCCATCTCTATCCCAGGCGGAGCACCACACCTGGTGGGTCCGCCACATAGCCCATGCTAATATAGCCCCTCGACAAGCTGCACTGACCAGAAGAGATTTGGTAGGACACAATCACCTCCTTATCACTACCCAGATGCGATTGCGTTGTGAGTAACCACGTCAAGCCTGTTGACTAGACCTCACAGAGAGTTCAGTCCCTGCCCAACGATCTAGAGGCCACTAAGTCAAGATAAAAGAGAGACGGAGTAAAGACGGAGTAAAGGGCAAGTATAGGAAATCCCCCACCATCGACCCCCCGCTTGCCTCACCCACCTTCTCCTCAGCATAATCCCCATTCCACTCCACTGCAACCCACAACCTGCCATTGCACGCCCCCCTCCTACCTTGCCTCCACGAAATCTCCAACGCACACCATCGCCGTTTTACGCCCCAGCGCGCGCCCTCACAGTATTCCGCTATAAGCTTACCGAAGCACTTCGCGGTTTCACACCCTGGCGGGCAGCAGTATCGTAAAAGCCAACTTGGGCAAGGTGACAATCTCCTCCCTCCACCAAAAGGAAACACCCAACCTCTGCTCATCCCCATCCTCTCCTTGCTCCCACCACCATCACACATGTCCCCTTTGCCACCCGCATCACTTCCCCCCATCGCCACGATATTCTCCCTTGCCTCATCATGCTACTTCGCGCCGCTCTGTTGACGTGCCGCTCCTCGCTCACCCTCGCCACTCTGCTGCGTCCTGCTCCCGCGATTCCGGTAGCAGGCGGGGCGCAGCGCTCCCGGCCGCGCTGCACCCCACGGTCTCCAAGCCAGTACCGGGTCTGATAAAGGGTAGGACCCTGATTAAATAAAAAAAAGAGGAAGGCTGTGGGAGAGGTGGATACTTACCTGGCGATTGCTAGGGGAGCTCCAACCTGGTCAGACTCTCCAGCGATCATTGGTGTGAGAGGGAGAGAGCTCATAGTGAATAGATGATATGCTAGACTTGGTAGTGCAGGCAAACATACCTGAGTTGAGGGCTAGCAGTCTGTTGTGGTATTCATTGAGTGAAGGCGAGAAACTGTCTTTCATTATCAACAGAATTCAGTGTTATGTGCGTCCTTGCACTGCCGTGATCCCAACCTTGTCATTCTGCATGCTTGCTCTTCAATGAGTTCACATCGGTCCGAATTTTGTGTTCTCACAGGCAGGCTCCTTGCATTTGGTGTCAGAGTGGTACTTCTGACCATTTACATCCCAGCAGGTGGGCTAGGACACACGGTATTGGCACTTGCTGAATGGCGGTGCATTGAATTCTTGTCGGCTGGTTGTCCCATCCTGTGGGTAGAGAGTGGATAGGTGGGAGTTTCAAATTATGAGGCAAGTGGTGAAAAGTGAAACGGTTTTCACCTCTTTGGAGTAGCAGACGCAGATCCCAGGGTTCGATCCCTAGACCTTGCCCTACCTGTGTACAGTACCTGCGTAGACCCCGAGAGTTGAACCTGTGACTTGTGTATTCGTAAACAGTTGGTAGGCTGTCATAGGTCCGTAGGTAGCAGGGGTTCGATCTATAGACGTGTAGAATAGAAGTCTTAGCGAGTTCCAAAAGTCTTAGCTGTAGTCCTTCTAGAAGGTCAGCAAGTGGGCAAGTGGGGAAGCGGTGAGTCAAGTGGTGGACTAACTGCGGTGCAATTGCAGTACGACCTTGGTAGGTTAGCAGTGAGTCCCCATTCAGTCAGCAGTAAGGTCCAGTCAGTCCCAATCCGGTTCAGCAAGTACCACAAGGGACTGTGAGCACCATGGGCCGATGGCAAAGGGCACACCAACGAGTTTCAGAAGTATAAATCAAGTGGCAGCGCCCAGCCATTCATTGATTCCTGCGTGAGCCATGCGGAAGCACTGCCACAACGACTTGTGCAAGGAGGTCTGCAGTGAGCCCGAAGCTGAAGTGGGCGAGAGAGAAGGAGCGTAGCATAGTGATAGGGTAATCGCGGCCATAGCCGCCATAGCTAGAGTTAGTGTATAGTGTGTGTGTGTGTGAGTGCTGAGTAACGCGTGTGGGATATCCAGGGTGATCCGGTGTATGTGAACAGTGAGTTGTTTGGGTGCTGAGTCGCCATAGCCTATTGAAAGTGAACCCGTATCTGGACGCCGTATCTCTGAGTTTTGAGTGGGCGCATGTCGCCAGTTTGCTGCGCTACTGTTTACATGCATAAAAAGTGTGAATGAAAGCGAGTCTGATTGCATTGGTATTGGAGCATGGTACCCGCTATCCCACGCGTTGAGTTGTGTGTCGCAGGGGTGATGCGCCATAGCAGAGGTGGCCGCCGAGAGTCATAGTTCGCCATAGCGAACCTGAAGGTTGGAGAAGCCGCCGCGCTCCTGCAGAGAAGACCACGACGAAGAAGAAG